GGGTTTTCTAGGGGCGAGTTGACTGCCAAAGAGTGTTGCCAAAGTGCGAGCCAGCGTGTTATTTGATCACAAGTGCGAGACATATCTCAAGTGTGAGCCAGCGAGCCATGACGTCACGACAATAGATAGAGACGTTAACCAGTTGTGCGAGGTATCGGCTGAGATTTGTGGAAAACAATTCAAAAAACAACTATAGGTCTAATAATGAATTATTGTGATGCTGTCTCTTATACACATCTAGATGTGTATAAGAGACAGCTACAATACAATGTAAAATACAGTAGTCAGATATATAAATATAATTATCGCATAATACGGTGACTATACAATAACGATAATCAGGCCCGTACGCAGGATTTTTATTGGGTGGGTGCGAATTAATGGAAAGTGGACCAAAATTGGGGGTGGGCGTGGGGGCTTTAGGACAGCCTTTTTGAGGTCGCTTAGACCAGTGTTCTCCTGAAGCCGTTTTAGCTGTCAATTTTACCAGTAAAAATAACTGACCAACCAGTAAAAATTGTGTGTTGGTAGAATAAAAAAGCACATTATTAGGCCTAGGTTGACTAGGCTGCCCTTCTTTCAATAAACGAACATCATTCCTTTCCAGGCCTAAGCTATGATTACGTATTATTGTTTTTTGAAGCCATTTAAATCCACTTAAAATTGGCAATATCTGAAGTTGTGTGCGCTTAGCTGGCTCTATATGGACAAATTTACCAGTAAAAATTTTTCAATTGGAAGAACACTGTTAGACATTCTTGATGTTTGAGGTTAATAGATTTTGAAAATACAATATGAACAATAGTAAACTTTTTTTTTTCGGTGGCAGTCCAGGAAATGAGGAGGCATGGAGAGACCTTTAGAGATGGAGGGTCGATATTCGTGAGCCGAGGTAGGAAAATTTTTAATTATGGCACCCCTAAGCAGCCGAAAATGCCACTCTAAAACTTAAAATTTGAATACAATTTTTTTTTTTCCCCATTTAGGGGGAGGGCCCGGGCTGGCTGCCCCCACTTCCTGAATCCGCCACTGGTTTTGAGAGCAAACGTTTTTCAGTGTTTTTATTTTCAAGTGTTTTCTGTAATCTATCAAAATTTTTTATCAGCCTGACGCCCGGCCTAACGATAGCAACTTTAATAAGGAAACTGGTGTATACAAAATTAAATCAATCTAATTAAAAAAACATTGTGGAAGTGTCATTAATTATACTACGGGTTAACGTTAATTAATACGATTAAATTTAAAGAATCGTATTAATAAATTGAGGTCGGAGTAAAATAAATCCCTACAGATTGGACATACATAGCCTATAGACGTGAAACGTGCCACTTTTAACGACGACGTGTTTTTCCTAGTATGTTGACATACCGGTTTTTACCTAACTGTCAGTTGGGGCATTTTTACCGGGGCCATTCTTACTGTACACTGTTTTTCACTGCATGCATACCGGTATGTCAACATACTATGTAAAATTATAGCGCAAGGTATGTAAAATATTAATATAAAAAAAAACATAGCAGAAATTATGTAGGTCTGTAGTGCACAATTAAAAAAACCCTATAATATTATTGAGCTAGAAAATACTAAATTTTTACCATATAGGCCCTAAGCATATGTAAATGTAATTATAAACTAGAAATTGCAAATTGCAAGTGAAGTGCTGCGAAGTACAACTGCATATAAATGTTCTTCGAACAAAATTATTTATGCGAGTCAAAGTGAAAATAATGAATAACAAATAATATGAGACACGACCCATTGTCTATATTAGAACACTTCTCATTGGGTAACAAAGTCGTAATTTTTTCATTTTTGTCAAAAAGTGTCTACTATAGTGGTGAATTACGTTTTAGGTTTTTTTTAATAAAGTTTCAAAAATTTCTATGTATGTGGAAAATGTAGTTGATTACCAAAGGTTACAATTTTTATTTTGAAGACCGCATGGTCTAGGAAGTGTACATTTTTTTATGGGGCAAGTTTCCAAGGGTGGGTTTTCTAGGGGCGAGTTGACTGCCAAAGAGTGTTGCCAAAGTGCGAGCCAGCGTGTTATTTGATCACAAGTGCGAGACATCACAGGTGTGAGCCAGCGAGCCATGACGTCACGACAATAGATACGAGACGTTACTCGAGTTGTGCGAGGTATCAGCAGAGATTTGTGGAGTACAATTCAAAAAACAACTATAGGTCTAATAATGAATTATTGTGATGTTAAATAGACAATGTTAGCTATCAAGGAGCGACGTTGTTTTTCATTGGGACCTTCGTCTCTTCAAGGCTAGGCCTATACCATCCTAGCTAGTTTAGGCCTAGAATAGGATAAGGCTAGCGTGACATGCGGACGTTGGTACGTGTTGCTTAGTCTACAAACGTCGCCTAAAGTAATTGATTTTGCCCAGCAGAACGAAAGAAGGAAACTCCGCTTTTCAGTCGTCTTAGGCCCTTGTTTTTTGAAAAACAAGAATATGAATTGGCAGCTTTGCAGCAATAAATGGAATGGAAATTGTGAATATAAATAAATAACTACAAGCGGTTTACGTCGTGGATGAGATGGGTAGACGTCAAAAATACATAAAGAGAATAAAATAATTCTATACTGATCTGATTGTGGGAACAGGGTAAGGCAATCCCTTTGTTGTTGTTTTGAAGCGAATACGTCTACCACTCTACCGGACCAGGGAGGGACTTTAAGATATGGCCGTGGCGGATTCAGGAATTCGAAATAGAGGGTCCAGGGAGGGACTTTCACAAAAATAGAGGCACCCACCTCGGCCGGCCCCACCATTGTCGGGGTTGAGGAAAAGAAAATTATGATTATGGTACCTATGGCCGGAAATTAAGCTCTCATGATTAAATTTGATCATAAATTACTATACAGTATGTTTTTTTTTCTCCATCTTCTTTATAAATTTCAAAAATGTATAGAGCATGGGTCGGATCGCCCCCTTTCCCCTTGAATCAACCACTGGGGGTCTATAACACCTCAGCCCCAAGCATGATGGGGCTGGGGGTAAGAAAATGTATTATGGCACTTCTAGATGGCAGGAAATGGCACTCGTAGACTTAAACAAGAATAAATATCATTCTAATGAAACCTATAGAAAGAGAAAAGATGAGTATTGTACGTGGCAAGTTATTGCCAAGCAAGCGGCGTGGGAAAAACACTAAAATTCCTCAAAAAACTTATAAATACAGTTAAAAGTCCTTGCTTGTTATAACAACAAGTTAGAGGCAGTGCCTAGTTGGAAACTGCTCTGGTTGTTCAAGGAGTTTTGGTGGATATTTCTGGAAGGTGTGAAAGTATGTCTTGAATTTCTACCCCGGGAAAATGTGGACCTTTGGTCGCACCCCTGCGTAGGCCTACGGTACGGGCCTGTGATAATAGTAGTTAATTATACTTTTTGTTCTTTGAAGGCCAAGTGTTGTTACGTCGCAGCCCTGTTCCTACCAATTCTTTCACAACCATAGCACCATTACCCTACACGAAAATCGTATGGCCTTTTTAGAACTAAATCGACTTGGCTCTATAAGTATGAACTAGTGAATAGACTCGAAAAAAAAATTAAAATACATAACATCCATACACATTAGTTCACACATCATTATTAATACATGTTGATAAATTCAAAAACATCTAACAAATACAGTATATTCACGGAAGATGTTATTATGAAAGATAGCATGATACACTTGAAATTTAACACTACAGTGTTTTCAATGCTGTATTCAACGGTGTACGGTAAGAATGGCCCCGGAAAAAATGGCCCAGGAAAAAATGGCCCTGGTAAAAATGGCCCCAATAATAAAATTCTGTATTAAAACTCATTTTTAAAAAAATCATTATATGCATTTTTTTTAACTGAAATAATTTAGTTTTTAAAAAGGAATCTAACATAAAATAAATTGCCATTTACATTTTACTTTTTGCAGGAATTACATATTCGATGATAAAATATTCAAAGATAAAAAAAAAAGACATAAATAACACTTTTTTTTTTTCCATTTAAATGTTAAAAAATAGCAACAACATAATCAATAAATCAACATAAATCATGTATTTATTAATACTAAAATAATTTATTTGTGGCCAATTTCACGGAAGCGGAATCACAATTTTCCAGAAATTCAATCCGGATATTGGTAAACCCCACAAACAATGAGTTTATATGAAAATCAAATTATTATTTTTTTTTTAGGAAAAGAGAGTTCTACAATCATACTTAAAGGGTCTGGATGGGGTTTGCAGTGTGTTTGGAAGTTTGTGGTGTATTTGCAAGTATTTTTTCACAAAAAAATCAAAGTTTTAACCAAAAAATAGGTTCTTATGAATATTTAATTTTCTTATTGATATACTAAGTGAGTCAATCAAAATTGAATTGTTTGGTTTTCTACAGTGTGTTTT